TCAGCAACTCAGCTGCTGATGTTATGTATTTTCAATTCCTCTAGAAGTAATAATAAATCAGAGTTTTACACTTAATAGACTTACCTCTTACAATTATATCTGCTGTTGCAGATTGGCTGTCTATAGTTGTTTGCACTGTGCACATATATTTTCCAGAATGATTCAGCTGAATATTTCTTATCATCAAATCCCCAACAGATTCCTGGAGATAAAAGGAAAAGAAAGATAAAATTAATCATTCAGAACATGTTTTCCATACTGGACATTTTTATAACTTGCTAAATATCAATAAAAAATGCAGCTTTTAAATTAAAATATTCATTGCCATCATCAGTTTCTTTCATTTGGACATTTTTATTATGGCTTCACAAATAACTCCAACGTCTTTATGAAATATAAGAAAGCAAAATAAATGGATGCAGCTTTCCAAAAGGGACAGTGATTTGCCATGCATACTAAAACCAGGGGAAGAATTATGAAAGATATTTATGTCACTTAAAGTCTGATTAAATACTAAACAGTTTGAAGAACTTACTCCCCCGATTCTTTCAAAATGATGCACTCCTCTTTTGAAGTCTATAACATCTCCATTAAATGACCATGCAAACACAACCTCGATAGAGGGGTCATGAGATACTTGACATGGTAAGACAATGCTTTCTCCAACTGTGACATCCATACTAGAAGGTGGAACAGTAATTACAGTCCTCTCTGTTGAGAAAAATCAGTCTTTATTTAAAAAGAAAAATGTTTTTTATAAAAGTAGCATAATGAGTGTTCACTACATTCCTTATTAAACAAAAGTATATTTAACATGTTGTTGATTTCATTTCATTGTTGATCATTTACAGTCTATTGTTTATAGCAGATGGAATACAATGGGTGCTACATATGACCTACTGGGCTAAATGATTCATCTATAGTGTACTGATTTGTAAAATCCATAGCCATTTTATTTAACTTAAATTCAAATAAAACCAAATTCCCCATTGAGGCTGCCAAAAATATGCAGAGAATGGGGAAAGACATAGTTTCATAGTTCATAGTTTCATAGTTTCTATGATATGACATGATAGTACAGACTTTGGAAGTCCTTCCAAAAACTGCAACACTGACAACAAAAGCAATAGTGGCTGTCTCCCTCTCCTTCTAAAACAAAGATTTCTTGGCCTTTTAAGGTGTGGCAACACCAGTGGTAGTTTCCACATAGAGTCACTTACATTACAATATTCAGACACCAAAAAAGATGACTTGAAAGACTAAGATTTTTTTTAATGTAATTTTTTTACCCCATACAGTGATAAATACAGAAGCAGCTCCAATTATGGAAATAGTAGTTTGTTGAAGGCAAAAGGAACTGGTTTAAATGGCTTTACTATTGTAGCCAAGATTGGCAGATAGATTAGAGATAACAGCCATTTTATTGTCACTGTTGTTAGCAATTCCCTTGAATAAAGATTTTGTGCATGGAAGTGTTATAAAACGGTGAGTATTCAGATGCATGTGAATAAATTGGGCACAGAATTCATTCAAAAATATTAATGTGTTCTGAAAATTTGTGGAAAGAGATGGAAGGACATTTGCAGGACCTGTATTCAGTCAACATATCATTACAAAACTTAAATTCACAAAATGCATTGGCAAAGCTTTTGAAAAAAATCCACCCTAAACCTCTTCTGTACATTTAAACCCATTACTTTTTGTCCTTTCATTTGTGAACACAAGGAACAACTGATCACCATCCTCTTTATTTACAAGGTTTTTTGAATTTGAAGACTGCTATTAAATCATCCCTTTCTTTTCTCTAGACTCATAATCCCAGTTTTTCCAGTCTTTCCGTATATGTCATGTTTTTCAGACCTCTAATTATTTTCATTGCTTTCCTCTGAGCTCCTTCCAGCTTGTACACATTTTGTTGATAGGTGAAACCCAAAGAATGCTACTCCAGGTTGGTCCTCACCACCCTGAATAGAGAAAAAAAGGTTTTCCCATGACTCGTACATGTTCTTGACCGTTGACTCACATTCGTCTTGCTATTCATTATTGACTCCTAAGTCTTTTCTCCTATTATGTATGTGCACAAACCTTATTTTATCAGGGCTTTGACTTCAAGGGAGTCAGTTATGTTAGCAAAAGTGAAGAAATTGTTTCTTATTAATTGGCTGCTTAGAACAAACTTTTTTGAGACTTTAAGAGTGATTCCTGAAACTAAGAGCTATGTTGGTTGAAACATGAAGTGCAGTCTTGCAGATCAAGTGACTTCGAATCATAGAAAATTGGGGTTGGAAGGGACCTCAAGAAATCATCCAGACCAGCCCCCTGATAAAAGCAGGATCATCCCCAATTATATCATTCCAGCCAAAGTTTTGTCTACCTGTGTCTTAAAAACCTCTAAGGATGGAGATTCCACAATCTCTCTGGGTAACCTGCTCCAGTGTTTTACTACCTTTCTCATGAGAGAGTTTCTCTTAATATTTATCTACTACTATGGGGAGTAGTAAACTTCCCTTGCTGCAACTTGAGACGGTTGCTCCTTGTTCTGTCATCTGCCCCCACTGAGAACAGTCCAGCTCCGTCCTCTTTCAGACCACCTTACAGGGAGTTGAAGGCTGCTATTAAATCCCCCCTCAGTCTTCTCTTCTCCAGACTAAATAGGCCCAGTTCTCTCAGCCTCTTCTTCATAAGTCATATGCCCCAGCCTCCTGGCCCTTTTTGTTGCCCTCCACTGGACTCTCTCCAATTTGTCTACATCCTTTCTATAGTGGGGAGCCCAAAACTGGATGCAGTACTCCAGATGTGGCCTCGCCAGTGCTGAATAGAGAAGAATCACTTCCCTTGACCTACTGGCAATGCTTCTACCAATGCAGCCCAGGATGCCATTAGCCTTCTTGGCAACAAGGGCACACTGCTGGCTCATATTCAGCTTATTCTCCACTGTAACCCCAGGTCTTTTTCCACAAAACTGCTGCTTAGCCAGTCAGTCCCCAGCCTGTACCAGTGCATGGGATTGTTTTGTCCTAAGTGCAGGACTTTGCACTTCTCATTCAGCCTTATGAGATTTCTTTCAGTTCAATCCTCCAGTTTGTCTACGTCTCTGAATCCAAACCCTACCCTCCAACATATCTACTATGCATCCCGGTTTTGTGTCATCTGCAAACCTGCTGAGGGTGTAGTCCATCCCATCTTCCAGATTGTTGATGAAGATATTCTTCACAAGGTGTGAGTTACAAATGATGGAGCTAATACAGCAGTGGTCAAGTGACACCGAGGTGGAATATTGCATTTTCTGCTATTTCTCTCGAACAAAAACTGTGTCTTTTTTAGCTACAGTGGTTCCACCTCAGACCTTAAGCGACATTCTTAAGGAACATAAATAAGGTCCCTTCCTTAAAATAGATTAGATGGTACCACAACTTTTTTTTCTTGCAGAAGCCCTTTAACAAATACACAGTCTAAGGAAAGTTATAGGAATATTCAAGGAACTTCTATTACTAAGGCAAAGAAAACTCCTTGGTTTCTATTGCATGAGGTCGTTTTTGCTTTTTAAGAGCTCTTCATTCATCTGGACAATTTAACCCTTTTGTGAAATTTGCACAAATCTGAAGGGATAATTCAATATCATGGATGCTTTCTCTTCTTAAGAGTACAGAGGTCTTTCCTTTTCAAGTAGTGAGAAGAGTAGGTACAATGCATTTTAGATGGAGTCAGGGACTGAATGCTCAGTTGACAAAACTACACTGGTCGTGTCTACATGAGCCACTTAATGCAGAGTAGTGCGTCACAGCACAAACAGTGCTAATATGCTGTTGTGCAGTACTATTAGGCTACTGCATAATAGCATCACTAAAAAGGCATTTGCCAGCACTATTGCGCAGGAACTCTAGTTCCTGCATGTTTAGTTAGTACTTCATTAAGCAAGTACTAAATTAAATGTGCAGTAACTTGTACACATTAAAGAATGTGTAGACATGCCCACGTTGACAGAGAATTTGGCTCCACAAATCTTGAATTGTGAAGTTCCATTATGAATTACATGCAACTTTTATAGCATCATGTAGGATTTGAAGGGCATCCAACAAAATTTTCTTTTCTTGTTCCTTTGTTTTCTGCCCTCTACATTTCTCACATTTTCATAATATTTGAGGAGTAGAAAATAATTTCAGCGGATAAATGCAATTATTTCTAATAATTCTATATATAGGAAGAAAGGATGAAAAAAACCCTAACACACTGTTTGGAGGTATGTGTAAATCACTTTGCAAAAAAGTTTCTCACTGTATTACTTTTTTCCTATATCACCTAAATTCTGTCACTACCAAACCCTTGGAGACCCTTTGTCCATCAGCTGCCTTCCAGACTTGGTCCAACATGTTTCCTCTCCTTAAAGAAAATCTTTCTGATAAAGCCTATTGTCACAAACCACAGGGCACCCCTGGAGCCCCAAGGTCCTCCTTACCATCCTGTTGTTTGTCCCAAGGAACAGGCCAAGGTTTGCCCTGAGATAACTCCTTATCCCTGCTAGCCTCAGATCCACTACCCTTTTACTAGACTTCATAGCCACAGCAGGAACATCTGTCAGCTGTAGGTAACCTCCCCATAAGGGGTGAGAGAAATTTTAGGACTCCCTTTCCATGGAATGGGTAGCCTGGAGGCCACTCTTTACCACAGGCAATCAGCAAGGAAACAAATAAAAAAAAAAAGAATGTGTTATTTCACAGAAAAGAATTATACAAGAAAAATTCACCATAAATTTTGAGACAACAGAAAAACTTATAAAGTGGTTTACCCTCTCACCTGACAACCCCCTGGCTCTTCAGAGAGACCTGCCAATATTTTCAGAAATCAACCTTTCTGCTAATCCAGTGTGCTCTGATTGCTGGGGCCTGGACTCCTCCAAAGCCTGAGAAAATCCAGTGACCGTAGCTACTTCACAGATAGACTTAAAATATCTCCAACCCCCCCAACCCCCCATGCATCAGCATGGTCCTGATACTGCATGGATTCTGCAATCCTCTAGACATTTCTTTCCTGCCAGGAGCAGCTGGCAGTCCTCTGACTACTGGGCCTTTTCACTCAGATGTTTGGATACTAATGGCCGAGGTCATTGCAGGTCCCCTGGCACGGCTTTACGAGCACTCGTGGTGCACTGGAGAGGTGCCGGAGGACTGGAAGAAGGCCAATGTGGTTCCAATCTTCAAAAAAGGGGGGAAGGAGGACCCGGAAAACTATAGGCCAGTTAGTCTTACCTCTATCCTAGGCAAGCTGTTTGAGAAAATAATCCTGGCACACATCCAGGAGGGGCCAGCAGGGGACTGCATGCTTAGGGGCAATCAGCACGGGTTCATCAGTGGCAGGTCCTGTCAGACCAACCTGGTGGCTTTTTATGATCAGATCACCAGATCATTAGATGCAGGGGTAGCAGTGGACATAGTCTTCCTGGACTTCCAGAAGGCTTTTGACACTGTCTCTCACCCCGTTCCCATTAAGAAAATGGGAGGCTGTGGTGTAGACACCCACACAGTCAAATGGGTCGCCAACTGGTTGGAGGGCCGCACCCAGAGGGTGGTAGTG